CTGTCCCTTACAAAACAACAATATTTACCAAATATTTTGCAGTTTTAGGGGAACTTTTACCGATGTATTTACTATCAAGTTATCACATATATTTGTAGATTGCACATTAAAACTGTGGATTCAAAGTTGAATGGTCCTTTCCTGAAATATAAACATTCTTATAATCAAATGTTTAGGTCAAGCCAAAATACTTTCCCTGAACATAAATCTGTATCATTGAATGTTTGTATAAATTCTGTTATTCAACTTGAAGTTGAAATAGATGAGGATCAAATGATTCGACAGGAGACATTCGGAGAAACGACGAGATATTATCGTGAAGTTTTGTTTCCTTCTGGGATAAACGACAAGTCGCTATCAACAGGTCAAAACTGAGAAAAAAACATCCAGCAGTGTAAATGAAGATCTCACGCAACACAGGAGCAAACTTTTCAAGTGCACAAGAGACTTGATGAAAAGATGAAAAATTGAGGCGACATGGACACGCGATGGTCGAATTTACATTCTAGAACAGCCGGGGAGCCACTCATGTGAAGCCGAATATAAATAGAACATAAATGGATCACCTGGATAATATGTGACTGTACTAAGTGTGTTATCCACTCAATTGGATGTATCCTGTAAGTAGACACAATGTAAATATGTATGTACGAAACTATTGATGTCCACAATGATGATTTAATGTCTTATGTTCCTTGTTCTATGTGTCACTGGCTATTTGATAGTTCTTTGTGTTGTTATGAATCCCTTGATGTTTAGTTTCCCCTATCTCTATCTCTATCATACTGTACAAATCTCTTTGTTCTTACTCTATCAGCTCCATTCTTCAAGTACTATCAACTATCTGTGAAAGTTTACTTATCTATATTCGTTCTATTTTCCCTACATATGTTGTGATAACATTCACATTCAACATTTGTTCCCGACATGAACAAATAATATATTGTCTATTTAATCTCATAATGTCATATCTTTATCTAATATTGTCGGAGTATATACTATACTCCCAGTTTTTACATGGGTAATGATATAGTGCAACACCGTGTGGTGATTGGGGTATTTAAGTGTGTAAACTTTAGAATACAGGTAGGATTTAAGAGCGTCCTTCATGTAATAATGTAACTCTCTTTGTACGGGAATTAAGGTTAATGTTTTGAGATTTTCTGTAACGAATGGAAATCATGCACACTGTTTTTAGTGTTTGTTGTCTCAAGTCACAAGCTGGTAATAATCTTTGTGTTACTATTGTTATTACTGACTGCTAGGGACGTGCAACCCAACGCAGGGCCACTGACCCATGACAACTCTGTCTGTGACCATTCATTGTCTATTTTCCATCTAAATACTAGAAGTGTACGTAACAAGCTTTCTTATTTGAGTGAATTCTTGTCAGATCATAATGTTGTTTGTTTTATGGAATCACACTTAGACAACAGTATTAAAACTGAAACGCTAATCTGGGAAAATTTTCACAAGCCAGTACGCAAAGACAGAAAATGTTTGGAGGTGGTTTACTAGTTTATGTTAATAAAAGCCTATCTTTTAAGAGAATTTCAGAACTTGAAAACATCTATGATGAAACAATTTGGATTCAGATATACTTACCGCAAAATTCGCTGTTATGTAATGTATACCGTCCAGAGTATAATTCATTGGACTTTTCGGCTTGCTTAGATAATAGTGTTGAAAGCACTCTTGACATGTCGTCTAAGGTTGTCATTGTTGGTGATATAAATGAAAATCTCTTATCCGCTAGAAAACTTAATGTAAATGAACTCTTGGTTATGAAACATTTAAGAAATGTTATATTTGAACCCACTAGAGTTACCAAAACAACCAGTACTTTGCTTGATCCATGAAATTGTCAGAGAAGACATTGATGTTGTTGACAGTGGTGTTGTTGAGTTTGATAGCAATATAAGTGATCACAGAGGAACATATGTAAACATAAGTACACAGTTATGTAATAACATAGCTTATAAGAGAGAAATCTGGAGTTACAATAAGGGTGATTATGAAATTCTCAATTATCTTATAGAAAATACAGAATGGAAAGATTTATATGATGGATGTTCAGATGTTAATGATGCTTGTTCACTATTTTATAACAAATTTACTCAACATGTGAAATCATGTATTCCTTCAAAAATAGTAACTATTCGTCCAAATGACAAACCATGGTATAACTCTAATTTGAGGAGAGAATCCCGAAAAAGAGACCGATTACGGAGAAAGGCGAAAACAACTAAAAAGGAGGGCAATAAAAAAGCTTATAAACATCAGAGAAATAGAGTAAACAACATGAAATGTTATGCGAAAGAAACTTTTATTCTAATATTAATGGACTACTTTTGGAATTATATGCTGAAAATAAATCTTCATATTGGAAATTATTACGTTATATTGTTAAAAGCTCGGGCTCTACTACGCATATTCCTCCTCTCAAGCAGAATATTGATGATGAATTCCCAACGCTGTTTTCTGATTTAGAAAAAGCTGAAAAACTTAATACATACTTCGAATCAATATCTCGATTGAATGATAAAGATGTACCATTACCACATTTTCCCTCAAGGACCAACATGCAGTTAGAAAAAAATAGTAATTTCTAAGAAGGAAATATCTGATGTTATAAAATGTCTGCAGCTAAACAAAGCTTCAGGGCTGGATAGAATAAGTCATAAATTATTAAAGAACACCGTTGATTCTGTATCTGAGCCCCTGTGTTTACTGTTCAATTTATCATTAAAACATAGTGTGTATCCAAATATGTGGAAAAATGCACGTCATGCCACTGTTTAAGAAAGGTGATCACTCTATTGTTTCCAATTATAGACCTATTTCTCTTATAAGTTGCATAGGAAAACTATTTGAAAGAGTTGTATATAAACACTTGTATAACTATTTCCATGTTAACAAACTTTTATATAAGTACCAATCGGGGTTTAAAGCAGGTCATTCAACTGTCCATCAATTAATTGAACTTCACCATCATATTTGTACATCTCTAGACAGCAAAGAAAAATATTGTATGATATTTTGCGATGTATGCAAAGCTTTTGATCATGTGTGGCACAAAGGGCTTGTACTTAGAGAAGTACGGTATTAGAGGGATTTCGAGTTACATAAGTGACTGCAGTCAACACGTCTTTGTAAATGGAGCTATAACCAAGCCCAGGTATTTAACAGCTGGCGTCCCCCATTGCTGATTAATTAGATTGTGTAACAAGACATTTTGCTGATGACACTTCGCTTGGAAAATCAGCGAAAAGTACTAAAGAAATCTAAACTTCTCTTAATGCCAATATAGACATATTACATAGCTGGAGAAAAAACTGGTTGGTCTCATATAATCCTGAAAAAAACAGAAGCAGTGTTGTTTTCAATGAATGATGAAACTGAAGAATTGAAATTATTTTTTGATGGAAAGCAAATTAATTTGGTAAACAATCATAAACATCTTGGAATAACATTTGAAGCAAACGGCAAATGGTCTTGTCACACTAATCAAATTATCAAGCCGTGCTCCAAAATGATATCATCAATGCAAAAATTGAAATATTTACAGAACAGAAATACAATCAACAATATTTATAACATATTTATCAGACCACACTTTGAATATGCTTGTGAATTATGGGATGGTTGTACCGTACAACAGAAGGAAAACTTAGAGAAACTTCAGTTAGAAGCTGCCAGAATAGTTACGGGTCTTCCTAGATATACCTCACAGGAAATTCTATATTATGAGACAGGGTGGGAAAGACTGGATGAACGAAGGAAAAGAAGAAAACTTTGTCTATTTTATAAAATTCAAAATAATATAGCTCCTGTATACTTAAAAGATATTACTCCAGATAGTGTGGGATCCAGATCTAACTATAACCTTAGGAATGCTAACAATATTATCCTTCCTTCTGCAAGGTTAAAACTTTCGTATGATTCCTTTTTTCCATCAACTGTAAGAATATGGAATAATATTTCTGAAACCGAAAGAAATCGACCTTCATTACAAAGTTTCAAGTCGTATTTAAAGTGCGAGCAACCTGTAGCTCCATCATATTACTCGTTTGGTATTAGAAAATTTAATATTATTCACACAAAGTTGAGATATATGATTAGTCAGTTAAATTATTATCTGTATCGTTTCAACATGAAACATTCTGCTTCTTGTTACTGTGGCAATGCTTGTGAAAATGTACATCACTTCCTATTAGAATGTAGACTGTACAACATTCAAAAAGATATTAATGTTAAATATTAAAAATATTGTAAAACGTGATTCTCCAATCACATTGTCACTGATGTTACTTGGAAGTCCTGACCTGACTATTCAACAGAATGAATGCAGTTTCAAATGTGTGCAAACTTTTATTCATCAATCAAAACGTTTTGAGTGATCACATAAGTCGTGTCCCTTCCTCTCTTCTCTCTTTTACTTTCCTATCTCTTCTCTGTATTCTTTCCTAAGATGTATATAATTGAAATTGTATGTATGTAAATATTAGGGAGTGGGTATTTTAAGTTGGATAACTTGTCCCCAATCCCTTCCACATTTGTGAATAAAATATGTTTAAATCAAATCAAATGATTCCAAATATTTGTTTAAGATGATGGGTCACTAGATGAAATCACACAACCAGTCTTCCGCTCCCTGGGATTCTGGATGCTGGTGTGCCAGGTGATTGAAGATAACGAGCACTTCACTTTTATTATAAAGTATAAATGTGCATTTGAAAATCTCTTGCAGCATTGCAAGTGTATTCAGGTCACTTAAATGTCAAGGTCATCTGTGGCCGACAAGTGAGTATGATTGCCGATGATTTTGGAGAAAATGCCTGCTTACTGTCGAGGAAATGATAAGTAGATGTTGCAATTGTTTTTAGACCTGTGGAATGCCACTGCTGATCGAATCTAGCCCTACATAGGTGCTGTCAATTTCTGATAACTGATCAAAAAGAGATGTGTGTATGTTGGCGGTTCAGTCAATGTATTCTTACCTGCTCCTGCAGAAAGAACATCTGAACAACTGAAACATCATTTTCATGTAATCCACCAAATTCCACACCTGGAGCACCATATCTAAGAAGAAATTAAGGAATTTTACTTTCAACAAGTTTACAGCATGTACCCCTGGGAATGTGTTAGAACAGGCATCATACTGCACTCTGCAAGATTATTTACTTGCTGGACAAAACCCTATTCTGCACAGTGAAGTTAAACTCTTATCTTACAGTCCATCCCACAATCTGCAAAAACACTGCTGTGATCGGTGCTCTCAGACCAGCCCATGTGACAAGTAACACCTGTCAGATAATATACAATTAGTGTCCCATTAATTTGTCATCTTTTATAGTTCCCAATATATCAGGGAAAGTGAGTTTTAATTTATAATTCAGCTATAAATAGCCAAATCTTTAGAACCAAGACAATTGAAGACTTCAATTAGCTGATTAAGTTTTGCACAAAATTATGAACGATTATATTATTTCAATATTTTCACAAAATGCATATGTAGGTTGCTTGGAAAGAGCATTATTCAATATCCAATAAAGTATGGTTGACCAAAGAAATCTCTCCAACTTCAGCTAAATGAGCACACAATCAGCCAGATGATAGACCTCTTTCACATTCTAATTCATACACAAACCTGGTATCAAGATGTTTTCAATCTTTCCCATCACGCATCACTATCAGCGTCACTACATCAACTATTGTTGCTGCACTCATTTCATAGAACTCAAGGATACATCTTCACTGCCCCGGACTTGGTTCCAATTGCCAACAAATTAAGCTTTGGGTCATATGCCAGGGCACTGGGTTTGCTTGGAAATCCATGATCCACACACTGAAAAGTATTTAAAAACCCATTAAACATCACAGTTATTAAAGAAACCTGAACAATGAACACATCACACATTGATCGTGTTTAAGAGGAATTAACTGTAACAAAATCCTTTCCAAACCATGTAACTCCTGTTCTTCCATTGAGGAATTTTCGGTGCATGATTTGCCATCAATTTCAATGAGTGAGGCAATTGAGTTAAGCAGAGGAGCATGGTCAAACAAAGCCAAAATATACTGCATACAAATGGAACAAGGAATATGTTGAGAACTACTACTGAAAACATGTGTACAAAATTTACTTATTTCTGGCAGCCAAAACAACAGTAATGGCAAATCAATGTCAAAATATAAAATAATGAAAAACGTGTCGAGACACACAACTAACTACACATGTACCAGATTCTATTCCATTTTGCCACAGCAGTCATATAGTTCAACTGTTTTTATAAAAATAACTGTGTGCATTGTGATAAAAGCATGAAACTTAACAGTTAAACAAACAAGGCTCATAAAATCACCAAGGCCTTTGGACTCATAAATTTGAAGGAAAAAATATATCTGCTCAGTACAGTAAGTCCTACAAGACTAATCTGACAACTTGACATCGTTCCTATCTTATCTGACTGTATACGAAAGTGGATAAAGAGCTATCACACCATTGTTTCTGTATGTCAAGTAAAGCTACGAGTTAGTGGACGTCAAACAATAACTGATATTCTCTCCAGAATTTTAAACCTGCATACAGTTTGTTCAATGTACATTCAATGTTCATGTTTACTGCAGTCAAAGTCAAACTTCCAGCCCTGTAAACAGAAAACATATTCTTACAGATTAATCATGTTAACACTCTGCTGGGCAACTATCAATGAAGAATGTTTTTGTTTTGGCTGAAGACATGATCTCCTGTCAGTTTTGATTTTCGTCATCAGGGAGAATTCCCTTTTGCATTCAGAATTAAATGCCCTTGTCAGATATTTTCACAAAGATTAAAATGTTTATGTATCTACTACATAGATCTCAGATACAATTAGGAGCCTATGTAAAAATATCTTTAAATTCAAACAGACAAGTAAGACCTGATCATCTTTATTTGTAAGACAATCATTTAATACCTTTTGGCTTACTGGAGAGATATTTTCATTGAATTTTCACATCTTCGTTCCCTCTGCTGGTATTTGCTGGACCCTCCCGAAAAAGGAAGACAATATCTGCCTCTGGTCCTATATACATCCAGTATTTGGAAAAGATTGCTATTTGGTTTTGTTTGCTGTTTAACACTACACTCACCAATATTCCAGTGAGTTTGTATGACTTTGTGCTGCTTTCAGCAACATTCCAACAATATCACATCAGGCATATACTAGAAATCACAGTGTACCCATGTTTCAAATTGAGCCTGGGTCTTCAGCGTGCCAAGCAGACACTTTACCCAATAGGCTACCTTACTGCCTGCAATATTCCAGCTGTATGACAGTAGCCTATAAATTATCCAATCTGGACCAGAGACTCCATTGACTGACGTGAACATTGATCTACGCACATGTGAGACAATGATGTGCATATTCACATTCAAAATCAATTGAGTGTACACTCCTCTAAGTTCATGTTGTAAATTTGGTCAAACTTTTCATGTAATGCATACATCTTTTACACCTCAATGAGGCCACCATTGCTGCAATGAGCTAAAGGCCATGCACCATTGGCTTAAGGTGTCAGTATGGTCAGTTATGACAATAATACAGATTTTCACAGCTGAGTACTGTCAGAACCTTACATCAAATTGAAGTTTTGAATTATGTCTGTTTTCAGCTGTCAGTGAATGCTGCAATTTCCAAAAAGGCTCCAGTTTGGAAAACACTTTCAAAGATGTGAATTACAACAGTCAGGTACACTTTGGCCAGTTTTTAGAACAATATCCCAAAGCAATTATTGAAATAGCACATGATTTGAGTGCCATGGCATGGTACATATTGAAATGGCCCAGATGAAATATTTTCAGAGCAATAAGACTGCACATCTAAAATTAAATAAACATTACTCACAATGATTCATTAAATGGAAAAAGCAATTAACGCAAATGATTTAAAACCTATTATTGCACCCCGTGAAGCACGGGCATAGACATTTTGAGTGCCAGGGCACATGACAATAAATCTTGTTTTGTGTAACAGTTTCTGGGTTAGAAGAAGACACCTGTAAAACCATGTCTGTCAAACAAGACTACTATACCGAGCTTTTTTGAGCCAGTTGCCGAGAAAATTCACCTGAGGATGTTACTTAAAACATTCAAAATGATCAAACAAATCTGAAACTGAGGATATTATATGTAGATGTTGCAATAAGTTTTTAGACCCTACTCCAATAGGGCTAGTGTAATCTATCCCAATCCAATTAAAAAGACACGTGCACAAAGCATTCCACAAAGTCTCCAAGAAAATACGACTCGTGGTTTGATTCTGAGCGGTGTCAAAACTTATACAGTATAGCAAAATTTGTGTAGTCGGCGAAGATGGTAAACCAAATCACTTTGTTATTGGGTCAAGGGGTTTCTAAACAAGTCAACTAGAAATACACATGGAAAGTGATGAACACTGAGTGATTTGTTTCTCAGACCAATTTTATTTCTTGTTTTACGGATCTGCGTGTCATATTTTTGAAAGAATAAGAAATTTTTTAATTATTTTTCCCCACTCAAAACATAAAATCCTAATGTTTTTATTGGCCAAAAATATAAACTTACAAGAATTTTTTTTCAAATTGTTTTTTGCCCCATATACACTTCATAAATTGCCAATAGTAAAATACTTTTAGTATTTAAAAGGAATATTACTTTGACTGTTGATTTTCATTTTTATTTTTTTTCCTTCCTGCCTTTAGTTTTTCTGAGGAAAAATCCTTAAAACATAGAAATAATATTGGTCTGGCCTTATATTGAAATGACACAAATTTTGTGATGTTGAAAGATCAACTTGATCATCAAAAGATATGAGCAAAATCATAAATTATCTGACTGGTGCCGTAGAGTGGTATAACGATTCATTTATAGTATCGACGTTTGCATCGTCAACTACGCACGAGTGTATCGACACAAAACACATTTAGGCAATATATCTGGATATTTATATCGCAAGGGTCCATGATCTATCAATGCATCGCCACAAGAGACGGTAAGTGCCTATACTACTTAAATACTACTTAAAGGTCACACGCAAAGAAACAAACAAACATAATTAAAACACACTAATCACTTATTCATGACACATAATATACATTGCTGATTATGAAAAAAACAAATAAACAAAATTATAAGTGTACAATCACCAATCAAAAGTGCAATATTTTGTACTTGGGTTTACTTCCCTCGAAACGAAGCAGTCGGGATACCAAACCCAGTCAGAACGGGTGGGCGTGCACTCAAGTGTAACGAAGGCTTTCGTTGGCTGGTTCATTTGGTTTTTTTGTCAACTTTATAAGTTGAATTTGCATTTTGATCATTTGTTACTGTAAGTCCATACCGAAAGGTATCAGAATCTGCAAAGTTGTGTTTCGTTGCATGTGACCTTTAAAGTTGTAAGAAGTATTGCATTAGCAATAGGAAGGGAGTTTCTTTGAAATTCTTCTGAATTTTAAAAACAAATTGAACCTTATAGGAATTTGTTAATTTGTATCTGTTATATTTGTTACATGAACAAATTTTTTGTGAATATTTTCAAACATTGATATTAATTAATTTAAAAAATCCATTTTGTTTCACACAAGAATAAATGTAATTTATTCGTGTACACTTCCCCTTTTTTTCAGTGATTCTAAATTCTGAAATATATTACACTGATTTGTTTGTAAAAGCATTGGTATAGAAACAACTTCCCAGGGAAACTTCAGTTTCAAATTTATGTAAATTAGATCAAGGTATACTGAATATGTTTGACTGTACTTTTTTAAACATTAACGCTGAAATTCTATTAGATCAACAGCTTTTAAAGTGTGTGTGAATGTAACACAAATTTTGCTGTATAACAATTAAAGTTTCAGCCATTTTATCTATCAAATCTGTTCTGTTTTTAGAAATTGTAAAGTATCGGGGTGCATATTGTATCGCCACCATTTGAATCGTGATAATTGTCTCACAGGTTCCTTGCCAATACTTTCATGATCTATCGTTTTGCCTCATTAAACTGGTATCGGATATATCGTCGCAGCCACTTAGGCCACGATACACGGCTCTACTGGCAAACAAGGATAAGTTGAGCACCGACCTGACAATTGACCCGTATTAGCATGTATGAGTGATGCCTAACCCTCACTCTGAGGTACATGGTACGGAAGTGTCATGGCAGAGTTCTAGGACAAAGCCCAATACAGAGGAGATCGACCCCTCAGGTCCTCCAAGGTGGTGATGGGAATGTCAGAGACATGCTCTAACCCTTGGTATTGGCAAAGAAGGGAGACAGACCAAACCAAATATATGGCCCCTCAACCAAGCCCATTTAATTCAGCCCAGTGGATTGATACACATGAAACCACATCCACCCAAGGGACAGCTATATCCAGGTCCCGTCATGCCCAGCCTGCCCAAGATGACAGTGTGAAGGATAGAGCATTGAAATGCAGGGACATCTCAGATAGAGAGCCAGAGGAGGAGGAGGAGGAAGCACATATGCTCAAGCGAAATGGGTGTGACCCTGTTGGGCCTCCAACTTCAAGCACCCCTGTTGGACCTGGAGAGATGTATCCAGAAGATGGGGCAGAACATGGTTTGTCAAAATATACAGAGGGATACCCTCGGGGTAATCATGCCCAAAGGGTACAGGACATATGGAGATACCTATGGACACTCTTATGGCAGCCATCAATGTTCCCGCTCCCAAGGATTCAGATGTATGGAGAACACGATCCAAGGGAGCATCATTCCGTAGGCCGCCCTAACCGATGCCGGGTGGAACGTATACATCCTGTGGCCCGCATACCAACCAGTTGTGTGGAACTCCAGCCACTCCGGGGTCATTCTAGAGGTTTTAAAGATGATCCCGCACATGCCCCTGGATAGGTAAACCTCTATGATGTGTAAACCTCTACGTAATGAGAGGATAGAAAGGATTCAGAGAGCTACTCATCGTTGTTTATCTGACTTGGCTGGCAGGTACTGGATAAAGCTGCAGCATACTCGTCAACAGTATATGCGGGCCCGACACATAGCACCGCAAAGAAGACTCAAACTCCTCCAAGATGTCTCGGATAGTAGCAATTGTGGACACTCATACATAGGAGAAACATCCAGGCCCGTCAACACAAGAATCAAGGAACATCAGAGCTCAACCATCAAATCGGACCAGAAATCAGCCACATCAGACCACATAGCAACTCATCCCAATCACCAAATCAACTGGACTGACTTCACCATCCTCGCTACAAACCAATCAGACTTTACTAAACACAAGATAACTGAAGGAATTAACATCAAACGATACTGACCACTGATTAATAGAGATCAAGGCTACTTGATACACTGCATACGATGAGCTCATCAATCAACCCTAGCCTCTTGTATAAACATTACTGGCTTCCACTGGCTTCTATGTATATCCCTGTTGTCCTCTGCTACCCTTTATTCACTATCATCACATTGTTTATCGTGTATACTTTCTATGCTCTGTCTATCATTGGCTTCCACTGGCCTCTATGTCTATCCCTGTAATCCTGTTATCGCTTTATTTGTTATCATCACATTGTTATTCCGCCTTGCCTTGTTAATTAATCTTGTATATATATCACCTGTTCTCTCCCTGTACCATTCTCACTTGAAAACGATACAAGAAGCTGTATCAAAACATCGTGCTCTAGAATAAAAGAAGTTGTCATCCATATATACTATTACCCAGATAGCAATGTCCGTTGGGCCAATGTTGGACCAACATTGGCCATCATCGGGCCTACGTTGGCCAATGTTGGCCCAACGAACATTGCTATCAGGGTACTTGTTCTACCTGACTTCCAACTTCTAAAATGCCATTCAAAGAAGAAAAGGTACAAGGCAAATAGGAGTACTTTCGTGTGAAATGGCCTTTTAACGAACAGCACATTAATGTGTTCGTATGTGTGCATGTGAACAACAAATGGGATACAGCAAACGTGGATATTAACAAGGATAGCCTGTAGTTAATTGGTAATGGACAAATTGTAGCGAGGAGCAAATCCAGGCACAGGCAGTACTGATAGGTAATATGCACTAACAGGTAATAAAGCATCGCAAGGGGCAATAAACATTGTATGGTGATTGGAGGGTCTGGTGTTTACCACCTGCCCCTCAAAACTCTCAGTCGACTAGTCAACTAGATTTTAAAAGACCAGCTTTCCAAATCCTATTTTCATAACACCGGAAGTGTTTAGGGCTATTAGCAGAAACTAACATGTCATATGACAAAAGTGAAAGCATAATTAGGTCTGTCACAGTAAATACACATTTATTCTGTTGTCACACTTGCAGGTCAATGAAGGTCCTGCTTTTCCCACACATTAAGGAAATATCGCCTAAACACTAGCGGACATATATGATAACGATGCCAGTCACCTGGACAAGGGTCAGCGTCTAGACCGCGGAATGTTTTGAATGAGTCATCTGTCGTAAAATCCAACATGGCTGCACGCCTTTGACAAATCAAACACAAACACATATGCAATAAGATTGATTAGCATACCTTCCTATAATCAAAGAGCTCTTTCTTTAATCTTTCTCTCCCTTCACCCTCCTTCGGGGGTTGCTTCTTGAAAAACTTGAACATTAGCCCCGAATCTCGCCCTGTTAACATAAAACACACGATGATTATCAACCGGTGAACAGGACGCAACGTGCAAGTTACAAGCACATGCTTTTCGATTTATCAATGACTGCAAACGTACAAGTGCGTAGGCCTACTAACTCAGTTACCGGTAAGATTTGGCGAAAACTGGTATCCTGCTTTCAAGATGTCAGACGCTACTCTGTGTCAAATCATACAGACAGTACCAAATTTTCAAACCCAGCGTGCTCGGAGCTCAGGGGTTTGTTTATGTATTCATGCGCTTCTACTGACACGTACGTTTGCTCAGATTAGGAAAAAATCAGCAGATTTGCGACATGTTCTCTTGAGTAAATAACACTTATGAATTAGGCTAATGACTGCATAACTTATATCATTATTCAAACTGTGTAAGATCTGTTCGTTGTCGCACTATATTGTGTTTGTAATTACACCTTCCTTTCGGGTGTGCTAAAGCTGCTAAGGAGGGAACGCACCTTGTTCATGAACTTGTTTTACAATACTTTGTGATGTGGTTTCACTTCCAGGAGCGTAGCTACCATTATAACAAAAGCCCGGGATTACACATGATTTTTGCTAAAAAAAAATATTATAATTTTCTAATTCTTGCCAAAAATACCTACAAACACGTTAATCAGAACAATTTAAAAAATGGTAATCCATCTATCAATCATATTGACTACAATATTCGTTGATGACAAAGCATTACGAATAAAGTCACCATGTACAGTAAACATGTTATTCTTCATATCATAAATTTGAAATATTTTTCTATTTCAGTGATGATTGTTTTTTCATGGACATGAATGTGAATGTTTTATTACAGGCATGATTATATGTGAAGCATAACTAACATGCAGGTACAAATGTATTTACAATCGCACTTCAACGAAAGCTTATACGTTACTCCATTCTGTAGTCATTCTGCAGACTTTAAGGTGTAAACCATCAAGGTTTCAAAAAGGTCCACCATTCCTCAAAAGAAACTTTTCAATACTATCTAAATATAAAGCTTTGCATCCTATCGGGCTTACATGAAAACACGTACGTGTGTGTGTGTGTGTGTGTGTGTGTGTGTGTGTGTGTGTGTTTCAGTCAACAGATTGAAAATAACTCTTTGAGAAAGGCAAATGAATGTTATCTTATTAACAAGTTCAAACCAAAATGAAACGGCCTCAAATACCAGATTCATGTATATTATTATTTCCGCTGATGTAATAATATACTGTGTATGTGGTGTATGTGTGCGTGCATGTGTGTTAGAACTAGTCATCAGTAACTCATGCTTGTCGTAAGAGGCTACTGACGGGATCGTATGGTCAGGCTCGCTGACGTAGTTGACGATGCTTATACTTTGGATCACTGGATTGTCTGGTCCAGACTCGAGTATTTACAGACCGCCGCCATATAGCTGGAATATTACTGAGTGTGGCGTTAGACAGCAAAACAACCAAATAAAAAAAGGTTTTCCTGTCGTTCAAACAAGTGCAGCTGTTCACTCAAGACGATTGCAATGAACATATATTTAGCGCAACTGGAGTTAACACTGATCATTCCAAATTTATGAACTAACCATGGAAAAGTGTTAAGGATACATTTACAAAATGAACTGTTCCTACTCTAGAAGTAGTGTCTACCAACAATGAGGTTGCTATTGTGAAAAAGACTGTCTACTCGGAATTCTTCACATATAGCATGATGGTGAACATAATGCATACAAAGACCCATAAGATATCCAACAATCCTACCAGAAAGCATTACTGACTTTGCTGGCTAATACTGTTGGGAAAAAAAACATACATTTGGACTTTGTACTTAAAATGTGTGTGAATGCAGACTTGAACTCGTCACTATATGGCTGGAATAATGCCGATGTGACGTAAAACCCAACTGTTGAGGAAAAAATAACTGTTTCCATTTGGACTCACTATATCTGCAAAGATGTTTCTGATTCAAGATCCAAGTAATTATCGGGGATCGTCCGAAACACACATCCCCCTTTGAAAATGACTTAAGACCACATTGAAGATTTTGTTTTGCGTTGGCGGAGGCAGTGGGGGGTTCAGTGGGTTCGAACCCACCCCACCCCCCTCTTTCAATATTCCTGGATCCGCCCATGATAAGATAATTAAGCTTGGATATCAATAGTGATTTAATGATGTCGATTTTACCTAGAGGCGTAATAATGCGTCTCATCCATAAATCTTATCGTTAAAGTTAAGATCAAGCATGTCACAAGCTGATGTGGAGAAGTTTATTACAAGAATCTTAGAACTATCAGGATTCCACTTACTACGCAAATCAGGCGTGAATCTTTTATTGCTGCCTTTTTTGGACCCTATCCAAACAACTTGAGATTTGTCATAATTAATTCTGAGGCAAAAGATTGCTGCAAAGAGATCTAACATCTTAATTGTAGCTTCAAATGATGACTGATTACCATCTAACCATCTAATCAAATTCAGTATCATCAGCATACTGAGCAATTAGATACTCAATGTTGTCAATAGTGTGAAAAATAAATATTAATGAAACATATCATTGACATGGAAAAATTGAAAAAAGCCCTCGTGAAACTGATAATGATTTTAGAGTTATATTGTCCTTGTTCCACAGGTACAATTAATTGGCTTGTTAGGAATAGTCTTGACTACGTGTATAAAAATGTTATTGTTTATTTGCAGAAGTTCATCATGTAGCCTGAAGTAAGGTAGTCATGAAATGTTAGTAATCTTTTCTGTTAAATAGTGCAGGGGCTTGTGTAATTCCGTGGGAATTACACGTTAATTGTTGGAACCAGTACTAATTGTAACCACTATTGTGTATGGATTCAGAAAAAAACATGGTTCCATTTTTTCTGTTTGCTATAAGTGTAATTGTGGGGTGATTGATTATCAGTTCCCAAAATTGCTTGCGACACCAGTTCGAGACAAAAATATTTTCGTAACTTATTACAACATAGTCATGTAGCATATCAAAAGGTAGCTATTGATGCATGATATAGAAATAACCATATATTATGCTTCTAATTTCAATTTGGTGACATAAAATATGACATAATCATATAAATTAATCAAATATTGTCTTTCCTTCATCGGACACCAACACTGTAAGTATTGGCCTATATCAATGCAAACCATGTATTTAATTAATATATTCTCCCATTTCATAATATATACCACCATGACACACTTAAGTAGTGAGTGAGTGAGTGAGTGTAGTTTTACACCGCACTCAGCAATATTCCAGCTATATGGCGGCGGTCTGTAAATAATCGAGTCTGGACCAGAAAATCCAGTGAGCAACAGCATTAGACCGATCCAGTCCCGGCCGATAAGCCCCGCCCACTTCGCTTTTGACGTTAGGGGGGACAACCACTGGCAAGTCACAATGGCGTCACTGCCTGCGAAACGTTACGTGATTGCGAACGTTGTTGATGAATTCTGCTTGTGATACTTTGGTATCCGCCGTTTGTGAATGTTATTTAAAGAGGCAAGTTATACGTATGTGATTTTTGATATATTTTAGCTGGCAGATTACAACTGGCGAGTGAAAATGAGTTACATGCCCGATGAAAAAGCGTCTCGACTAGCTGCTGAGACTGTAGGAAGCGTAATTTCTTTCGAATCAATTAATCTATCTGGCAATTCACCTCCGTCACAGATATTAGCAGGGGAAGGATAACTGAATTTTGTTGTTTGGGTTTATAATTTTTTAAAACTCGTGAACACAACCACATGTTCATGTTGCAGATCTTTCGGTATCTATAAATGGATTATCAACACTGCGCGTGGCGCTGTTCAAATTTAGTTCAATAATCTGAAGGCATGGGTTTCTATCTTTTAATGATTTAAGAGAATGGTAAATAAAAAGCAGAAAATATTTCCCGTCTACTACTTCATGCACCTTATTTGTCTGTACAATTAATGTAAACAAATCAATCACAGCATAACCTATTTGATCTAATTTGGAAATCTGGAAAAGGTAATTGGGCTTGTAAACAATATGTTTCCATGGAGGTATCTGGACATACCCAGAAGCAAATATTCAACAGCTGATCTGCAGCAACTCTCAGTAAAGTTTCTCTCTTCAAAATCTGTACACCATGATAAAATGACACTGAATATAAGGAAATCATTTTTTTAATCATCATTTCCATTTAATTTTTCTATATGTACTTTGTTGTGGAATCCTAACTTACATACAAACTTCCACAATACTTGACTTCATGAACTGCCAGCGTTTATGTGCAGGTATGTCACAGCACCAGAACACAAAGAAGATCAAAGATACAGTCTGCACCTGTACACTAGCTGACCCATCTTCCAGAAATAGGAAACATGTGATGCAAAATTTTGGAACAGAGAATCCACAGTTATCCGAACAATTAACTAGCATTGAAATAGAATGGTACACAAAATACAAATGTAGATCTATTGTTTTTTCATCAGAGATGTTTAACTGCTAACTACTAGTGTAAATAAGGTGCAAAGAATATATCCTATGTTCAAAGCCTTCTGTCAATACAATTACATATTGACATTATTGCTTCTTAATTAAACAATGATAATCTTTGATTTATTAGATCCGAGATTATATCCCTAGAGGACATAACACTGATTTTGATCTATTTCCTTTTCTGAGATACTTACTGGTGTCATAAAAATTATAGTAAAGTTGATTCAAAATTTGGTAAAAGTCATAACAAAGGTTTAGGAAAACAGACATGAAAATGTCCTGAAGCGTTCACCTCCTACAAACCAGTGTGCAATTTAATATGAAGCTCATTTTGCAAATAATCATCGACAAACCTTGAACAATTTGTCCAAATCCACCATCTTAATAAACACTAGCTTTGGCTCAGTCTTCAAATATTAGTAACCTCCTAAAAAACTTATGATTTATCAGAAGAATTACATCAAATATGGGTTATATATATGTTTCAGTCTTTATTCCGTTACATGAAAAGCCACCTGAGATTTTTGTAAATTATTCTGTTCCAGGACTGGATAATGACTGACCAGGGTTTGATCAAAACGTAGCCTTTGCTTTTTCAAATTTTCTGGATGTTGAAATAACTTTAATGAGTTATGATACTAGCAATCACTTTCAGAATTATCTTATTAGTAAATGTAGTATTTAAAAAAAAACATCTAAAAGCAGGAGCCAAGTTAATACTAAGTGATTGTCCTGCCATGATATGTATGGTGTTTGTTTGCCTAGTTCTGCCTTAAAATCTAAAAAAA